ATCAGCTGCAGTAGTAGTACTGACTGCAACTTATGCAGTCATAGCCGCTACCGTTTGATCTGAATCGGATGGCACAGGTTACTCAGAGCACTATAGCAAAAGTACTGTAGAATAAAATATTAGTACTATATGATTCTAGTTTGATCACTGTAGCGGTAAATCTAGACCGTTGATCATCAAAATGAACGGTTGAAGATACGTGCAGTCCTAAGTTGCAGTGAAAGATACTGTAGCGGTAAATTGGACTTTTACGACGTTTCAACAGAGCGCAGTTGATAAAGGCGCGCTAAAGGCAGTGGTTAAAAGAAAGAAAAAAACACGTGTGTCATAATAATCAATTGAATAAACTTGCAATATTCAAATAACTGTACTCTAGAATAAATTTAGTATAACTATTAATTTCTCTTTTTTTTTCATTTACCGGATTAATCTGTATGAATTTTTATACTTATCGAGATTATACTTTGATGTTTCATATTTTAAAGTGAAAATTCCTGACACGTCCCTAGCTAAGCTTTCTATCCGTCCTTTCATATCCAGGAATTTCGCCTTATACGTTGTATATCATTGAGTTCTTATTTTGTTCCCCACTATGCTCACTTGGTTAGTTGATTGTTATTTTTTTTCCTAAATAGTGATGAGGACATCACTTCATCGGATACACACATAACTTCACACGTTCCAATGACAATTCCAAGTTCAAGTCCAGTTCGGCCTCAGGAGACAGTATTGACTTCAAACGAATCTAGCGCCTTCATGCCAACTCCGATTTTAGTGATCTTGGACTTGACGAAAAGCTTATCTCGTCACCTTTCAAGCGCATCTGGTCTCATATCCAAAATCATCTCGAGTCAATGAGAATCGTTAAAACAAGACAGTGTTGTTGTTTAAACCGAACTTGGGTTTTGGGCCTTGTAAAAGACTAGACCCATCTAATAAGTGTCTCCCTCCACCTCCATGAATTAACACTTAACCCTAGCTCTATTTTCCTCTATAAATGTCTATGTACACCTCTAAAACAATTGGGTTTTGTTTAGTTGAATTTTACCAAGTGCCATTCACTTTTGTCTCTAGTCCTCGCTCAATTAGTCGGCAACTATAGATTTAGAGCCCCCAATAGTTGGTGCGTTGATTTGCCGGGTCGATTAGATCATCCACTTCAATCGCAACTATTTCTTTGTGCTTAATCACCTATTCACAATATTTAGGTTGCATCTTATTATCTTGTTCTTGCAGGGATCATCAACAGCGTGTCACGGTTGGTTCGGCATCGTTTGTGGTGTAGCGATTGCACGACGTCCTGGACTTGTTTTGGTTAGTAGCCACATCGCAAACGTCGCACTCGATTAAAGTGAGAGTTATCCCCTCACCAGAAGATCGGGCCATGAGAGAGAGCATCATCAAATAGCTATGCTGACATGTTTCTTACTTATGTATTAGGTCCTAAAGAAATACAATTCTTAAGGTGAAACAACTTCAGTTATAGAAAACAAAGGGGATAGAGTTGTTTGGCCACAATTTTGGAAACTGAGATTTATATTTTTTTTTACAAATAATTTATTGTCAACTTTTTTTTTGAAATTCATACAACATTTTCATCAGTATTTAAAATCAACTACAAAATAATTTTGTGTTCCAAATTCTCGGTGAAACTATTGGATGGATCCACCAAATCTTATTGATAGTTATTCGAAATTTTAATTTTAATTTTCAAATGTGGGGTCATACAATTATGTCCCATGTAGTTATGTCTTTGATATAAAGTATTCCTTTTACATTGACTTTTTTTGGTAACTAGCTAGTAAAACAGAGTATAATATAGTGTTTTGGAAAAGAAAAAAAAATCCAACAGTTAACTAAAGGGTGGGCATATAGGGGATCAAAATATTAACTGATGAGGCAAAACTTGGTTGTATTGAAGTATATTTGGAGCAAAAATAAATAAATTCTCATAAATTTTAGTACAACCATAATTTTCTCATAAATTTAAGTACACCCACATTAACTAGAAAATCGGTCATGCATTCAGTTCGATAGTTCTAAAAAAAGATTCGATTCGGGGGGATCATACTGTAGAGTGTATCAAGAATTTATTTAAGTAAAACATGCAACCGCGATTATTAAGGACTATTTACTTTTAGTTTTTTTCCCCAAAAATTGATAGTTGAGAAATTCGGAATTAATAATTATAAAATTATACCCATCTTGGACTCTCAATTTATTATTCACCCATTCTCGAATAACTTAACTATGGCCATATATTTTACTTTGATCACAAGTTACTTTTAATGAAAGTTGTATCGTTATATGTATAACTCTATGCACTACGGTAATATGACATGTTTTCAAGTATTTATAAATCTTCCAAACATACAAGTAGTCAAAAATTAAACTTATATAATAACAAATATCAATTATTTGAGAATGCCGAATTGATTGAAGCTCAGCATGTTCCTTGTGTGGTGGAAGTTGTCCACCCAGTTCAAGTACTACACTTACAAAGTGTTTCGGAAAAAAATGAGAATGGAGGGGTTATTATTATTATTAAAATAAAAATTATGAATTATGAATCTTTTTAAATTTAAACCTCTGTAATTAAAAAAACACAAATAGTGGTACGCAGATCGCCCGGACGCACATGATGAGTGGAATTCCGGTTCCTTTCCACCCCCTTGGGCATGGCCTGCTAGGTTCATGCATCCTGCGCCAACAATTTTCCTTTCTGAGTGTACCACACAGGATTCTCGGCCCTCTTTTTTGTGGGGACTTGCAGCTAAATCCTTTCAAGGAAAAGAACGTCAGGAAAAAGAAACGAAAGGAACAAACCAATCAGCGTTCAAGCACGCATGATCAAAGCTTAGCTAGGACCAGACCAACTGACCAAGCAACGATCGAGAGGGAGGGAGGGAATTAATTGATTAAATCAAACGAGAGAATGAGACCGAATTTTATTCGATCGGGAGCTGCTTTGGACGGCCGCTGTTACGCGCGTGATGATGCATTTGATGCTAGCTGCCGCGACTGAGCTCTCGCTAGCTCCCTCGATTGGTCTCTTGGTCTCCGGCTCTAGCAGAAAATGCATGCACCTGTGTGCTGTGGCGCTCTCAAAATCTTCTCGAATCCACGCAAAAATCTCGCCGCTGCGGGGCCGACTCACCCTCCGCGCGACATGTGTCCCCGGCGACCGATTCGGCCGGCGACGGCAGAGCTAGCCATGGTGGGCGCGAGCTTGTGGCCTCTCCCTCCCCCGCTTTCTCACTGATGGCAATGTCGCGCGCAAATCCTCCTCTGCGTATCAGCGTATGTATGTAACACAAGATCGGTCGCAGATTCACCGCACACGAATTTCTCTCGATCGATCGCTGCTGGTTCGAGACTTCTAGTTTATTTTCTTCCCGTTTCGTAGGATGATAGTACACTAGTACAGTACAAAAAATCTGCAGAGATTCAGAGTTAAGGCCGTCGTTTTTGCTGCCGACAGGAGGCCGGGAGAAATGGCTAAGGTAGCGCCTGGGTGAAGTCTAGACGGTCTTCGATGGATAGATGGATCGATCGGTGCACAGTGGCCGTGGGCGCTGAACGCGTCGGTTTCACAAGGTCCATCGGTCGAAAGCGTTGCCCGGCCCGCGCGCGCGCGGTAGATCTCGGATCAATTTCTTCATCTGATCTCTCTCGCGCGCGCCATGCACATGGACGCCAAATGGTGCACATCAGCACATGCAGGGAGATTTCGATTTGTTTTAGCTTCGATTCGTCGTACCCTTGTCGCTGCAATTTGCACTCTGCATGCATTAGCCATCTCATCTCAGGATATAGATGTATCCATCCCCTTTTCAGTTAGCACAAGGTCTCTGTTTTCGTTCACCTGTGGTCCTGTGACCGCGTGTGTGCATCTTTCAGAGTTTCAGACTTACCAGCTGCTACGTGGAATGATGTGGAACACACGATGGAAGAATTAACGTATAGTACGTACTACTACATGCGTAGTAGGCAAGTTTTACTGGCGGTGGATGTCACCTCTCCACCTGTAACCGAGAAGACTTTTCTTAAACATGACAATCACAGTTCACACACCAACGTCAGATCTGAAAACAAATCGTGACACACAACAGTGGTTAATTGGCTTTTACTAGCCAGAGCGTGTTGACCACGGTCAATGTTACTAGGTACAGTGTACTAGGTAGTACGTAATAGTTATTTCCTCCGTTCTAAAATAGAACAACTTTTAACACTCAGTATTTATCTTAAAATATAATAATTTTTTCACTGACATTCCCTTCCTAACCAATCACAACTCTCAACCATTCAATTTTTCCACTTACCTCTACTTTTCAACCAATAACAATCTCTTCTTATTCAATTCTATATACTTTTTTAATAACCGTGTTTATCTTAAAACCTTCTTATATTTTAGGATTGGATGGGTAGGTTTGCAGTATAATCCGGGCGGGGATATCTGCAGACAACAACAGCAGCTTGCACTGCATTAACAGCTGCCCGGGGCGGACACGGGCACATGCGAAAAGCTTGGTCACATACCGGAAATCGGTTTACCGTTAGAAAGCGAGACCCGCGTCGCCCCACTTCGGGGGCGGCGCGCTGGCGCCCTCGCCCGCGAGCGCCATGCACGCGCGCGTGCATAGCCGGACGGCGAGCGCTGTGCGCGCACAGGGCTCGGCGCGCCACAGTGCGCGCGCCAGCGAGCGCGGACGACGTGACGAAGGGCGGGGCAAAGCGGTGGCGCGGCCTCGCCGCCGAGGCGTCGCCAAGCTACTCCATTCGCGCGGGCGGGCGTACGTACGGGCGTGCGAGGAATAATGCAGCGGCAGCAACAGTGTTCGTGATCTTCGTCGCCGGGGGGAAACATGTCCTGTGTGCACAGAAAGCTGGGCTGACCCCCAGCATCAATTCATCCATCCGTTTCGTTTCTGTACGTGCATGTGTATAGTTGCAGTACTATGTACATTGTACGTGTCAATCAAACTTCGTTGCAGAGAATGGAAATGGCTAGATCGATCGATTCATATAGCAAAAGGGGTGAAAAGATGCGTGCATGGTGGCGTACAATGTACAAGCTACTACATATACTAAAGTTTTGTGCGCATGCATGATGCGCACTAGATAAATAGTACCACTACGTTACATATTAATGTACAGAGATGTGATCGTACAGGTGCTAGCTAGAGCTACCGACGCGCCGTCGTCGCAAACGGTGATGAATGCAGGTCTCGGTCGTCATTACATGGTGTGTGCACGGCCTCATGGATACGTACATGTCGATCGGACGATTTTGGGCAGGAGCACGGGAGGATGGACGTACGCGATATATATCTACCACTGGCCGTTCAGGCCAGGGTAGGCCACGGTGGCGGCGGCGGCGGAGGTGGCGGTGGGCGGCGGCGGGCGGTGGCCGTTGGCGGCGGCGGCGCGCTCCAGCGACTGCACCTGAGTCTTGAGGAACTTGACGTAGTGGATGGCCTCGTCGAGCATGGAGGCGGTGTCCATCTTGGTGCCGCCGGGGACGAGCCGCTGCAGGATGCGGATGCGCTCGCTGATGCGCTCCCGCCGCATCCGCGCCGCCACGCTCTGCGGGTCCGTCGAGATGCGCACGTTCCGGCGCTTCGGCGGCCGCACCGTCTCCGGGTCGATGTTCACCGGCTGCAGCGCCGCGATGTGGAAGATCATCTCCCTCATCGCCGCCGGCCCCACGCCGCCGTCCCCGCCGCCGCCGGAAGCCGGCCGCGTCGTCGTCGTCGTGTGGTACTCCGAGCCGCGGCCACCGCCTGCCGCGTTGCTGTACGCGGCGGCGGGAAGCAGCTGGGTGTAGTACTGGTCGCGGTACCCGTCGCCGGTGTTGGCGCCACCTGACGACACGACGCCGTGAGCTGGCTGATGATTCACCGAGGAGAAGTGATGATGACCACCTTGCGCTCCCATGCATGGCGAAGTGGGAGAGCACGGCACCACCATGCCGTGGTGGTCAGGGAATGCGCTCAGCTGCTCCAGCTGTAGCATTGTGTTCATCAGCTCGAGCTGCGCCTCCGGGTTGGAGTTCAGCATGTCAAACTCCATTCAAAGGCTAGCTGCCCACGAAACGAAACTCGATCAAGAATTCAAGATGACAACTTGAAAATCGAGAGATGAGTAGATGATCAAGTGACAAGTGAGGAAGCTGGCAGCTAGAAGCCGCTTAGCTAGAGAGAGAGCAAGTGTAGAAGGTAGCTAGGATTGTGTTTGTGTTGTTACCAAGTTAGTGGAGGCTACTTATAGGACAAGGATGGGTACATGTGGCTTCATTGGATTTGACAGGGCAGTGTTGTTTCCCTGCATATCTCATATGTTCATCAGCGCTTTCATTTTGCTATTCTTTTGGGGGCCTTCTTGCTCACTTCTGGCTTTACAAAGTGGCATGATCAGATAAACTCTCCCTTTCTTTTATTTTGGGGAAAATGACGTCTCGAGATAATGTCGCAAAAAAAAACACGGAATCTGTCGTGCTGCATTTCAAGGGTGCCGACTGTTTAGCCAGTAGTAGGGAACTTGGAGATAGGCAGGGAAAAAAAACAGGGGCCAATGATAGGGATGAAACAGCAAAGTTGAGGAACTATAATTAAACGTGACTGTTTAATTTGAGATGCTAAAAGGTCGATATATATGTTCCTCTTTGCACACACCTGTGCTGCATGCTGGCTCCCTTGTAACATCCTTTAATACCACATATTGATACCCAATCTTAGGTGGTGTTCAGAGACATAAATAATTGAGCCATCTATTTGTTAAGTGTCTATTTTTTTTCCCTTATACATCAATTACTTGGATCAATATAAAACAACTCATGTCTATTGATTTTTTTTTCATGTAGAAGGAAAGAATTAATGTTGTAACCTAAAATTAAAACAAGTGCGCTTTGTGTTGCTCATTATCAATAGGGCATATTTGTATGATCTATACAAACATAAACATGCACACAGATAACAGAGCGGATTATAGTTGTAGTATTACGTACTAAGAGAAAGACAGAGACAGACTAACTACCTGGATGTTATAAAAAAAGACTAACTACCTGGATGATCAATACATACTGACGACTAAATAAATGGTCGGAACTTGGAAGCAACTATTGCACGAACGAGAAAAAAAAGAGAGCGGATCCAACTACTGTAAGATACAATAATCGGAAAAATAACAAATAGTCAAGTGGTACTCTCTCCGTCCCAAAATATAAGAAGTTTTAGAGTTAGATATAGATATTAAGAAAGTAGATAGAAGTGAGTGGTGGAGGGTTGTGATTGGATGAGTAGTGGAGGTAGGTGAAAAAAGTGAATGGTGGAGGGTTGTGATTGGTTGGAAAGAGAATGTTGATGGAGAAGTTGTTATATTTTGGGACATATTCTAAGAGCTAAAAGTTGTTATATTTTAGGACGGATGTAGTCTGTTTTAAAATATATGAAATGTTTGTTTTTGGACATGACCTTAATTTAACCATTCATCTTATAAAAAATTTAAGTAAATATCATTTTGTTTTGACTAGTTTTATTACCAAAGATATTGTAAGAACAATTTAATTTTTTATTTGTACTAAATTTTTAATAGGAGGAGCGATCAAACGTCATGTCCAAAATTAACATGACAAAAACCAAAGGAAATATTCCACAAAGGTCCCTCCGCCGCCTCTCAATTCCACATGCTGTGTTCGCATGTAGGGGATGGGAACCTATTCCCTCCACACAAAAAACGGAGCGGTCCATTAACACATGATTAATTAAGTATTAGCTATTTTTTTCAAAAAGGATTAATTTGATTTTTTTAAGCAACTTTCGAATAGAAACTTTTTGCAAAAAACACATCGTTTAGTAGTTTAAAAAGCGTGCGCGTGGAAAACGAGGGAGATGGGTTGGGAAAATGGGGTTCCAAACACAGCCATACTCAGCATACCTAGCTGTAATAAAGTCAGTATTCGCCTAGTGTAGTAACTTTCAGAGAGTTTTATTATGCTCAAGTCATGCACACAATGTACTTCGGCACTATGTATCAAAGATGTTTTCCCAATAGCTGGTATTTAATTGAATTCGTATATATATCATCAAGCGTGTATTAATAATTTATTAATTTCAAACATACATGCCGTTATCATGCAGACCAGACAATTAGCATTTCCATGCACCTAGACACAAAAATTACGTGAAATTTCAACCTCATCATGCCGCTAGATCTCACAAAATCGTTCGAGATGTTGGAGCCTCGACCTCTTGCAGGCCACATCTCCCGTTGGTTCGTGGCGCACAATTGTTGGCATCCAATATGTCAGGACAAATGTTCCATGCTGATAGTGTCTTATTTCCGGGTCCACGTTTTACAGCCGATAATAATGATATTTTCCTCTTAAAAAAAGGAAATAGAGATATTTCAAAAAGGAAAACGTAGGATGTGGCTTGTCACTACTAAAAAAAATCCCATAGAGATCAGCAGTATAGGTGCCGGAACAACTAAAACTGGCACCTATAGTGATTTTTCCTCCTCCACGGACTGAAAATAAAAAAAACGGCCATTTTTGTAGTAGTGTGTGTAAATTAAAGAACCGGAGGAAAATTAACATGCCCCCATTTGTTGCATATGGTGCATGCTCACTAGGAAAAGTTAAAACATTTTATATATGAAAGGAAGAATAGTTACTGTAGTCCCTAAAGTTTCTCTGTATAATCAGTTTAGTCCCTAACCTTTTAAATGGTCCAAAGAAATCCTTAAACTTTGTCATAAGACCTAGAATAGTTCTTGAGTCTACCAAAATCGTCATATAGATATGCCATGTCATCATTCATGCAAAATCTATGATGAATTGTTCAGTTTACCCTTACGTATATAATAGAAAAATAAATATAAGGGTGAATTAGACATAACCATAGAAAAAAAATACTTTTCCTTTTTTCACCTTTTTGACGTATATTTTTGCTCTTACATATACCATATTTTTTAAAAAACTTTTTCTATTTGTTTTTTATTTTCCTATGATATATATAAGGGTAAATTGGACAAATCATATAGATTTTGCATAGGAGGGTGACATGGCATGTCCATGTGGCAATTTTGGTGGGACCAAGGACTATATCAGTCCACGTGATAAATTTAAAGGATTTGTTTGGACAATATAAAAGATTAATGACTAAAATGACTCAGTAGACCATATTGGCTATTCTCCCTATATGAAACGGAGGGAGTAATAGTATTTTTCCTAAATCAGGCTAATTGCTATCTTTATTTCATTGTGTACGTGTAGACAAATTTTGCCTTGTATATTTGTAAAGAGATATACGACACAAATGGTGTCTATATTTCTTTCAATGTTTTCTGTAACTAGCTCTTCGAACCATATACTCAACTTTGAGGCCATCTATTTGTAAGGTTATAATTTTTTTTATCTATGAATCACTTTAAAATATATTATATCAATATCAACAATCCATACGTATGTATACATATTTTTTTTGGAAATTCCTTATGTCTTGGAATTTTTACTCAATTCCTTCTGTCCCCATAAAATTTGTCTCATCCGTTACATGTTCCTGATTTTTTATTTTGATTCCCTCTATAACTATTCCATTAGTTGACTGTGATTTTACCGTTAGGTTTTATAAAATCACTATATTGCCCCTTCTCGTACTTATGTGCTACCTAGCCACTTCAAAAACATAAACTTAAATGTGAAAAAAAAATTAATTGAGGCAGAATTATCTGAAGTCAAAGTTGAAAAACAAAGTTTATGAAGTCCTTACAAGAGTTTCACCGTGAAACCGAAAACCACAATTATTTTGTTTGGGTTTAAATTTTGATGAGAGTGTCATACAAATTTCATCAAATTTGATTTAATTTTTAATAAAATTTTAAATTTCAATTCTTAGACTTGCGATCAAATTATTCTATCTGAACCGATCCACTTTGCTCTTTTTTTTCAAATGAATCTCTTTTAAAACACTAGACACTGGGGAAGGACCCAATATCGAATTTTATTAAGAAAGAGGATGAGCACGTTCGGCCAGAGTCAAACGCGGAATGCGGAGAGCACAATGGCTGTACCATGCCATCTGCGCTATGTGCAATCTGAAATGATTTTTTTTTCATGTTAAGAATTGTGTTTCCGTAGTAAGCTACCACATAAGTATGTGAGAGTGGCAATATAATCATTCTGAAAAGGAAATTAATGGTCAACTCACACAATTAATAGAATGAATATAGAGTGGATCAAAATAAAAATATAAGTACATGTAGGAATAAGATAAGATTCAACAGTATAGAAGGGATTGAGCGAAAACACACACAAAAATAATTTTCTCTATTTTTCTTTGTAGTAAAGCAGATAATATTCTAACCTAAAAAGTAAGAAAAACATACTTCGGTGTGTAAATTCTTACCAGGATGAAACTAGAAAATATGGTTTATATAAGCATAATAATGCATCTAGATTAATCTGGAAAATAAAAACAAAAGTGACTTAAAAGTTGCACTTAACTTGTTCTTAAATGCAGTTTTTTTATGCCATATGCAAGTCTAATAAATGACTTCTGTGTAAGTTTAGTAAAAGACTTGTGCAAGTTTAGGTAACCAACAGATAAGAAAAAAAAATCAGCCGATTGATAAATAGCAAAACCGCAAAACTTTAACAGTTTCCTCTCACAAAGGTAAAAGTGAAGTTTAACCAAAGCAGGCCATTCTTCTACTGCAGCACACTGATCCATGAAGGAAAAGCTACCAATAGATGAACGAAAACAAGCTGTACCATAGCAGAATATACATGCATTGCTAGCTAGCTGCTACATGGAAACGGAATGGAATTGAATCATGCATATGGGGGGGTTACGGACGGATTCCCCGGCGTGCATGGCGGAGCCGGCCGGCCGGTAGCCTTTGTTGCCGCCCCCGCCCGCGCCCGCCTCCGATCGGCAGGGTTGCTATCAAGATAGGGCCGGGACACGGTCAACGGCGGCGAGGACGACGGTCAGTTGGTCGGGTGGCGTACGACCGTCCTGTACGCGCATAAATGGCCGGGAGCCCCGACGCGATCCCGGCGCCGGAGTCCAAAAGCAGCCTCCGTTCGCTTGCCTCCCCGTCGATCCGCCATTGGATCGCCGGGCTGCCCCCTTCCCTTTGGCGCCGAGCGGAACGGAGCGGAGCTACGTACGACCAGGCTCAGCTAGCTCGGAGACGGCTCTGACTGCTGCTGTTCTGCGTTGCTGACTGCTCACTCTGCATCGAAGGGGACATCGGGTAGGCTAGCGGCTAGCTGCCAGATCAGTATTA